TTTGGAGTTCTATAGGAGTTCCAATAAGGTTTATGTCATCAACATATACGGCAAGTACAACAAATTCCGATGTTGTTTTCTTTATAAAAACACATGGGCAAATGGCATCATTTATATAGCCTTCCTTTAATAAATACTCACTAAGACGATTATACCACATTCGTCCTGATTGCTTTAGACCATACAAAGATCTTTGCAATTTGATTGAAAACATTTCCCGGGACTTTGAATTATGTGCGTTTGGCATTTTAAATCCATCGGGAATTTTCATGTATATCTCATTATCAAGTGAGCCATAAAGGTAGGCGGTAACCACATCCATTAAATGCATGTCAAGCTTTTCATGGACAGCAAAACTAATGAGATAACGGAACGTTATAGCATCCATAACGGGTGAATATGTCTCTTCATAATCGACACCAGGCCTTTGTGAAAATCCTTGTGCAACAAGGCGTGCCTTATATCTTTGTACCTCGTTTTTCTCATTTCTCTTGCGTACAAAGACCCATTTATAGCCAACAGGCTTAACACCATTAGGTGTTTGGACTACAGGCCCAAAAACTTCACGTTTTGCAAGTGAATTCAACTCTGATTGGATTGCTTCTTGCCATTTTGGCCAATCAAGTCTTTGTCGACATTCTCCAACAGATTGAGGTTCAAGATCCTCACTTTCTTGCATAATGCTAGATGCAACATTATATGCAAAGACATAATCCACCACTATATCCACTCGATTCAAATTTGTCTCAATATCGATTGGATTTATTGATAGTTCCTTATTTTCTTGAGTCTCGGGCTCAGTGGATTCCTCATGAATCTCAGAATTTATTAAATTGTGGATTTCTTCATGAGATTCTTTCGTAGTGTCATTTTGATCATTTGTTTTCCTTTTTCTAGGATTTCGATCTTTGGAACCTAATGGTCTGCCACGTTTAAGGCGTGCTTTTGACTCATTAGCTATGACACTAGAAGATTGTCCAATAGGGACATCAATACGGATTGGAACATTCTCCGCAGGGATATGTGATTTTGTTATCCTTTTCATATCCGTAAATGCATCTGGCATTTGATTTGCTATTCTCTGCAAATGAATAATCTTTTGCACCTCTTTTTCACAAATAGAGGCACGTGGATCAAGATGAGATAATGATGGATTTTTCCACAAAATTTCCCGTTTGGTTTCACCAACTTCTCCCCCTAATTTTGGGAAAAGTGTCTCATCGAATCGACAGTCTGCAAATCGTGCAGTAAACAAATCCCCCGTCAATGTTTCGAGGTAGCGAATAATGGAGGGCGATTCAAAACCAACATATATTCCTAACCTTCTTTGCGGACCCATTTTGGTGCGATATGGTGGTGCTACAGGCACATATACTGCGCATCCAAAAATTCTTAAATGGGATATATTAGGTTCATGACCCAAAACTAATTGCAACGGGGAATATTTATGATAATTTGTCGGTCTGAGACGAACTAGCATTGCTGCATGCAAAATGGCGTGACCCCAAACAGAAGTGGGTAACCTCGTTTTCATGAGTAACGGTCTTGCTATCAATTGCAGACGTTTAATTAAAGACTCTGCAAGGCCATTTTGAGTGTGAACATGAGCTACAGGATGTTCCACTTTTTATCCCAATTGATAAGCAATAATCATTAAATGCTTGGGATGAAAACTCAGCAGCATTATCAAGTCTAATAGACTTAATTGGATTATCGGGGAATTGTGCCCGTAATCGAATTATTTGTGCCATTAATTTTGCAAACGCGAGGTTGCGAGATGACAATAGGCACACATGGGACCATCTAGAAGATGCGTCTATTAAGACCATAAAATATCTAAACGACCCACTAGGTGGGTGAATAGGTCCACAAATGTCCCCTTGTATACGTTCCAAAAACGCAGGGGACTCAATTCCAACCTTTGTTGGTGATGGTCTAATAATTAACTTGCCTTGATAACAAGAAGTGCAAGAAAATTCATCATTTAAAAGAATCTTTAAATTCTTTAATGGATGCCCATTTGAGTTTTCTATAATTCGTCTCATCATAATTGATCCAGGGTGTCCCAATCGATCATGCCAAAGTACAAAAGTATTGGAATCGGTAACCTTTTGGTTTACAATAGAATGTGCCTCAATTGCACTAATTCTTGTCCAATACAGGCCACAAGACAAAGATGGGAACTTCTCAATAGCCCTTTTCTGGCCAGAGACATTTTTGGTAATGATGAGATATTCAAGATTATTCTCATCTATTGTCTCAATATGATATCCATTTCTGCGGATATCTTTAAAACTCAACAAGTTCCTCTTGGACTTGGAGGAGAACATTGCATTCTCTATGATAAGTATTGTTCCCTTAGGCAGAGTTATAGTAGCTCTTCCAGAGCCTTCAATTAAATTACTACTACCCGAAATTGTAGTAACATCTGCCTTACACATACTTAAATGAGAGAAATATTTCTTCTCTTTGAATATTGTATGTGTCGTACATGAATCAATTAAACTAATATTTTTACAATTGAACTTTGATCCAAATTTATTTTGCGAGGTATCCATATTTGCTTCCCATGGTTTGACATACAAAAGAAATATACGAATAAATGTTAGTATTTTCAGAGATAAAGGGAAATAAACAAAGTTAAATCAACGATTCAATAATGAGATAATTGTAATCAATTGACATATTCATAATATTAGTCGCGACCAACAATATGTTAACACAAACCTACTGTCATAATTCACATAAGTATTTATTATTTTTAAATACACATAATACAATTTATGTTGGTAATCAATAATCGTGACAACTACTATATGAAAAATAAAATAAGCATAAATAATTTTGCAGTTAAAACTAAAGCACTTAGAATACTATTTGTAGAATTTAGATATTGTGCTACAATAACTGTACTACATACATGTTTAGAGGAAGTAAAAAGTAAAAAAAATTGCCCCCTATAGCAGCAAAAGAAAACATAAACTAGTTAGTTTGTGATATAGGTGCAAACATTGTCACATATGTTAACATTCAAACATGACGATCATTAGTATTAGTTATTAATTTGCTTATTGAGCCTTATTAACATAGTCAAGCATTTCAATACATATTTCTAAAAGTATGAGGCAAGGACATATTAAAATTCCTCACTGTAATAGCTCTAAGACTTAGTTGCATAATGTAAGATGAAGATTCTTATGACGAGCAAGGCGTAAACATTGTTTAAAACGAAACAGTATTCCATAAAATTAATAATACGAATTGAAACTAATGACTACTATTCATGTAAAGAACTATGATTACATGATGTTTATTCACTAACTAATACAAATAAGCAAAATAAAATCAAACTATTCAATCTTCTTTAATCACAGATCCATCACCGATCAAGTGGTCTATTTTTCCATCAGGGCGCTCAAAGAAGTCTGCCACATCCAAGTGGGTGATGTCAAAATCATTGTCAGAGACAAAATTGGCTTCAGGGCCTTTATTCTTTAGAGATGCTTGATAAAGTTCAACCAAATGTCTTGGTACAATGCCCTTTTCCACCGCAACGATAGCATTCAGTTTCTGAGCCATTTGCTTTTGGCTTCTCATCTTTCCCTTTCCACTTTTGGTGGTTATTTCTCTTTGGGGGATGATTAACACCAGGAAAATTTCTTCCTTGTCTACGGCCACGACCACGGTTACGACCATGATCACGATCACGACTTCGAATAGAGTCACGGCCTTTTCCACGCTTAGCATAATGGGAATACACCCCATCCACTTCAGGCAATGGTGTAGACCCAGTGGGTCGATTTTCGTGATTTCTCATGAGCAAGTCATTGTTTCGCTCAGCCACAAGGAGAAGAGAAATCAGCTCAGAGTACCTTTTGAAACCTCTCTCTCTGTACTGCTGTTGCAGAACCATATTGGAGGCATGAAACGTTGTAAACGTTTTTTCAAGCATATCATAATCACTGATAGTATCTCCATAGAGTTTCAATTTAGAAGTAATTCTGAACATCGCAGAATAATATTCAGAAACAGACTTAAAGTCTTGGAGCCTCAGATGAGCCCAATCATATCGTGCTTGTAGAAGAGTGACCAACTTTAAGTTGTCATATCTTTCTTTTAAGCCATTCCACAAAATAAGTGGATCTTTGACTGTGAGATATTCAATCTTCAACCCTTCATCAAGGTGATGGCGCAAGAAAATCAAGGCCTTAGCACAGTCTTGGGTGGATGCTTTATTTCTGTCTTTAATGGCGTCTCCAAGACCCATTGCATCTAAATGGATTTCAGCATCCAACACCCATGTTATATAGTTCTTGCCCGAAATTTCAAGGGCAACGAACTTTCTTTTCATAATGTCAGTCATAATTAAAAACAGGAGAAAAATTACCTTAATCTTCTCAAAGAGCTTCTTGAGACGGTAGAGTCTCGTGCTGATAACGTATTATAAAATAATAAAAGAACAAGAGCAATATTGCAAAGAAAGAGAGAGAGAGGGAATTCTTATTGAATTTTGGGATAAATTACAATGGAATATAACCCTCTATTTATAGGGAGAGGTTGACTTAGCCACCAAGTAATAAACCCTAGAATCTCTCTAAATATAGACATTCACCATAAATAGGATTCTATTTATAACATCTCCTCCTTACTCCTGTTTCTGTCTCAACATTTTAGTGAACGACCAATTTCTTTATCATCATTCTCTGTTTCCATTTTCTTTAAGTTGTGAAGTGAGTTTTCTTCGAATAACGATGCTATTATTTACCAATTTGTTAAGAACAATTTGCTAGATAAATTGTTGTCATGGCAAAATTTTTGATCGAGTCAAACCAAACAGTAGTAGTACACCCATACTCTTTAAAAATTCTAGATATGCCTCAGAGAGAAAACAGGGTTTACCATCTTAATTTTTTTAATAAAAGACGAGAAAAACAATCCTTACATAATAAAAACCAAGAACAAATCAATAGAACTATTGTGCAAACAGTAAAACCAAATAAGCATATAGTAAATTAAGACGAACTATATCGTTTGCGGTAGAAGGTGAAAGTATCTGGAGTTAATCTTCTTCCTTTTCAAGGTTTACTGGTAGATTTTTCACATTGGTCATTGAAGATGGGATGTTCTTCAGATAAACCCCAATACTCCCAATGCCAAAGCAATTTTTGGTACCATGAAAACCACCGAAAAGCAGATGATTTCCTATCTGAAAGTTGAAGTCCTTGGCATCAGTAGAAGGAGTCCCAAATGGTCCATATGAAACCTTGTTGGTTCCAAATTTTATAGATTCCAACGATGGTAAGTGGCAGAAAGAACAACTAATCGAAGTAAGAAACTCTGATGGATAATCAAAGACGATTGCATGGAAGTTTTCACGATTATCAACACCATGTATGTTTGACATTACTAAGCTACCATTCTCATAGAACAGGAACTGAAGTCCATGTATTGTATATTTGTCATAGAAAACATAAATCCCAGCAAGTTGATCTCGTCCCTTTTCATCCCAAATGGTTCCTCTAGGATCTTCCCTTGGGCTTACTTTGATCATATTCATATTCTCTCTTCTTTCGGAATTACTATTAGATGGAAGTTATATATATTCAACACAAGATCAAGTTATTTATAGAGAGGAGTTTCAACTTCTAAGAAGTTTTTGAGTCGTATATATTACTTAATAATTACTTTGCATTGGTATTTTGCTTCTATCTCGATAACCAGAGTCTGACGCTTAGTTTCTTTCTTTCAAGTTAATTTTTCTTACCTCCCATTGATTTAATGAATACATTTTCTACTACAAGAATGCAAAAGGAAGCTTAAAAAGAATTTTAATTAAAGGTAATTTATTTAGAAATTTAGTTTTATGTACACGGACAATATAAAAAATATTTACACAATCAAGTTACTTAAAAGGTAGATGTAGGTAACAACTAACTACAACTAATAGCTTTGGTCAGTAACCTAAAATAAATGATATATAAGTAACATGTAACTCAAATGTTAACTTAAATTATAGTGCATATATAACTTAAATCCATTTATATTTGAGTTTATGTTATATAGTCTATACACGCTAACAACGTAATTTTTTTAATACTATCAGGTTACGTTTATCTACAATAACAAATAACTCTTCTTCGTATCAAGCCTGATATGATAACCTAACAAATAAAGTAAAATAACCCACCATAACTAATCAAATTGCAACAATGGTGTGTGTGTATATATATACACACTAACTATTCAAACAATAATGTATAACTTCTCAATTAAAAGAGTAGAATTAGAAAAATTGAGAAGTTTTTCAACAAGAAAAGAGGCACCACTTTGGCCTTTGGGAACATAAGCTGAGAATCCTCAATATCTCATCTCTTGCATTTATTCTTCTCCTTGGCTGGATTAACAGTATTTAGAGTATAGGGCATGCCAGCCAAACAACACACATGCCAAATATATTAATATACTACATCTAATAAATACCCTTTTCGCCTTCTGTATTAAGTTAGAGACAATTAACCAGCCTATAATACAAAGTGTATAGTTAAAGTACATTAAAAAGAAGAGGGAAATTTATATTTCCTAAAAACTACACTGTTCTTACTTTTATAAATGGGGAGATTAAAGCGAGAGATGACTTTTTGCATCTAATCTCAACTAAAGGAAAAAAGCCAAACAAATAATAATGTGTACTACATATAGGACTTTCTCATAAATCATAATTTCGAGGAAGGGGCATGGCCCCTCAAACTAAAGCGTGGTGTGAACTAAATGAGTCCTTCTTTGATTAAACAATGTGTTGGTAATGCTTTTATAAGTGTGAACCAAATGAAATTTTAATTGATTAAATAAAAGTATTTAATGAATTTATCGATTAAATGAACTCTCTTACCGAATAGGCTAGTTTTTTTATTTTTGGGGGGTGGGGGGTGTTGGACCTTCGGTTCTACCTGTAACAAAAGAGTGGCTCCACCTCCACCACTAGTATTAAGTTTTTTTTTTTTTTTCAATTGTTATTTTGCCTACTATTTTCTTCTTTGACAATAAGTGATGTTACACTTTTTTTTTGTCGTAATGAAAATAAGAGTACAGTCAGACAACGTCTTTATAAAAGTAATCCATTAAAATAATATTTTATTATAAGGATGTATCCCCCTCTTGTATTCCTTTGTTATGATGAAATACAACTCCCCAGTTAATCTGGGAAATTGAAAAAAAAAAAATTATAACGGTCAAGTTTTCTTTGGAACTGTTGAAATTAGAGTTGTAAATAATTGTACATTTCTGTATCTATATAATACTCTTTTCTAGAAGGTAGTTAGTTAAGAAGTTAGTTGCTAATTTCCTCTTTCACAAAGTAGGGTTACGTTAGTTAGGATAAATAGGGATGTACAATTCATTTTCAGTTAAGGCAGTAACAGAATTGTTTTTTCATTTCTCAGCTTCTCTCTCTGTCGTCTTCTCTGTTCTCTCTTGCTCGAGCTCACCAATAGCGGAACCTAGGGCCAGATTTCAACAGGAAACTAGGGCTAGAAAATGGCATGATCAATGCAACAGCTCCAATTTTCACACCTGAGCAGTACCAACAAATATTCAGAATGTTAAGCAAGGAAAAAGGACCATCAGAAGAAAAAACACCAATAGATGTGGCCAATCTGGCAGGTAATTCAATTACTGACCAAATTAAGTGGATCATTGATACTGGTGCTTCAAATCACATAGTTTTATCATTAGATTGTTATCCTGTCCTAAGCCTGTTCCCCATTTGTCACGATCCAAAACTCGACCCGTCGTGATGGCGCCTATCGTGGAACTAGGCCAGCCTCAACTCAAAATCCAACACAGCATAAGTATTTTTAAACAATAAACACGAAAGCGACAATTCATTAAGGAACATTTTTGAAAACAAAATAAAATTCAAATTACGATACAACCGCCCAATGTCACTGAGTTCATGAGCGTCTAGAGGAGAACATACGCTATTACAATGTTTAAAGAAAATGAGCTAAAATACATTTAGAGATAAAAGGGAGGGTCAAGGCATGCGAACACCGTGCAGATACCTCGATAGTCTCCTAAGCCCGAAGCCTCGATCAGCGACTGCCACTAGGACCAAAAGTGCCTGGATCTGCACACAAGGTGCAGGGGGTAACGTGAGTACACCAACTCAATAAGTAACGAGTCCAAACTATGGACTGAAAGGTAGTGACGAACTCAACCGCAACAGAAATAATAGAAATATATATGCAGAAATGTAGCCATGCTTTCAATTTAATAGATAGCTGAAATAGTAAGATAGAGCAAATACGAACAAGGTAAAGAATAAAACTTTGCTACATCTACATGCCAATGCACATGCTGTATGTGATGCACCATGCCAAATATCTCATGTACTCACACTCTCAATGCTCGTCCACTCAGTACTGTATATGGCCTATACGGCCCAGGGAAGATCCATCCCGGATTATATACATCTCTGACAACAGTCACTCAGCACTGAGGAAGGCTAATCCAGCCATATGGAGAAGATCCATCTCCAGGTAACAATAATAACCTCACAACCACTCGGTACTGTATATGGCTCACACGACCCAAGGAAGATCCATCCCGGAATATATACATCAGTGATCATCAGTCTCCAGTACTGAGGACATAGGCCAATCAAGCCTCATGGAGAAGATCCATCTACAAATAATAATATCAACCGCGCTCACTAGGGGTGTGTACGGACTCTGGAGGGGCTCATTCAGCCCAAGCACTATCACAAATCAATATAACCGTAGCGTCATGCAGCCCGATCCCATAACTATCACTCATAATCAGGCTCTCAGTCTCACTCAGTCATCACTCTCCAGTCTCACCCACGGGCTCACAATGCCATGAAAACCAGCTCGGAACAATGATAGGATGTGCCAATAAATAACAACTGAGACTAATATATGATATGAAATGCATGAATATGACTGAGTACAGAATATCAATGAATTAGTGAGATGACAGCAAGCAACGACCACTAGGGGTCCCAACAGTATCGGTGTAAAGCCTTAACATGATATCTAACATGAGTTACATCTCATTTACTTTATCACACAATGGAAACACGAATATCAACAAGAAAGAGTCACTAAACGGTGCCATGGAATGAACCAGGTCATGATTCTCACGGTGCACACCCGCACGCCCGTCACTTGGCATTTGCGTCACCTCAATACTAACCACATAACACGTAGTTCGAGGTTTCAAACCCTCATAACCAAGTTTCAAAATGTTACTTACCTCAAATCGAGCAAAATCCTACTCCACAATGCCCTTGCCTCTCAACTCGGCTCAAACCCGGCCCCCGGGTCCACGTCTCGGAATCCAACAAAAATTACAAAACCCGAAAGCCCATTCACTCACGAGTCTAACCATATGAAATTTATCGAAATCCGACATCATTAGGTCCCTCAAATCCCCAAATTACACTCTCCAAAATCCCAAGCCCTAACCCCCCTATTTTCACTTCAAAACCCCGCTAATTAGATGAAAAATCAACGGGAAAACTCTATAGCTAAGGGTACTTAGGCTCAAGGGACTTACCTCAGCGAAAATACTTAAATTCCCTTCAAAAATCACCTCAAAAGCTCCAAAGTCCGAGTTGAAAATGGTGGAAATGAGAAAAAATCACGAAGTCCTCTATTTATACATTCTGCCCAGCGAAGCCGCACCTGCGGTCTCTTCTCCGCATCTTTGGGACCGCATCTATGGACCAAGCTCTACTTCTGTGAAAATCACTTAAAATCCCTGGGAACGCTTCTGCGCCTCTAGACCGCATCTGCAATCATCACAGGTGTGGAAACTACCTCGCACATGCGGATTCCCTCTCGCACTTGCGCATGCCAGCCCACATCTGCGACTCCCGCAGGTGCGGGAATTCCTTCGCACCTGCGGTTCCTACCCAAGACCTCCATGGCCACATATGCGGCTCCTCTGTCGCTCCTGCGTGCTCCCACCTGTGGCTCCCACTCCGCAGGTGCGGAAAACACAAAACCAGCAGCTTCAGCTGCATTTTCCAAGTACCAAACCTTCCGTTAACCACCCGGAATGACCCCGAGGCCCCCGAGACCTCAATCAAACATACCGACACGTCCCATAACATCATATGAACTTAGTCAAACCTTCAAATCGCTCAAAACAACATCAAAACACCAAATTACCCTCGGATTCAAGCCTAAGAACTTCTAAACTTCCAAATTCCACAAACGATGCCGAAACCTATCAAACTACGTCCGAATGACCTCAAATTTTGTACACACGTCACAAATGACACCACAAACCTACTTCAACTGCCGGAAATCCATTCTGACCCCGATATCAAATTTTCCAGTGCCGACCAAAATCGCCAAAATTCTAACTGTCACCAATTCAAGCCTAATTCTACTACGACCCTCCAAATCACATTCCTGACGCGCTCCTAAGTCCAAAATCACCTAAAGTAGCTAACGGAACCATCAAAATTCAAATGCGAGGTCGTCTACACATAAGTCAACATCCAATCAACTTTCCCAACCTAAAACTTCTCACAAG